TAGCCTGTTCACCTTCTTCAACATGTCTAATCATTAATCTGATCTACTCATGTCCACAGTCAGATCCTGACAGGCATCTACCTGTGGCATTTGCTCTCCTGCAAAAGATCATTAATTTTTATGGTGACCCCAAGAAGCTATAATCTGATAAGGCTGAACGAGCCTTAGTCTCCTCCCACTGTCTGCAGGCTCCCCTGCCATCTAGCCCCCACAGCATCTCTCTCATTCTTTATTCTAGAACCAAGAGACAAGCTGCTTCCATAACGGAGACAACCTGATAATTATACGCTACTTACCACACCCCAACAGTTCTTCCAATTAAGTTTCCCTGAGTCTTTTTTCATTTTTAGAACTAAAATCACTTGGGTGATCCCTATGTCTATCAAAGTGCTGCCTCAAGTGCAGGTCAAGGTCTTTAGATAAATGAAAAAAAGTTGAAAGGAGCCATTACAATCTTCCAGCCCCACTCCCTGACTTGTGGACAGGAGGGGGCAGAGGGCATGGTCAGATCTTCCCATCCGACTGCTGTATAACCTTGGCCAAACTATTTAAACTTTGTGTCTGTTGTATCAGCAGCACAAAGAAAGGCACTGGTTATATCTGCCACTCAGAATTTCAATGAGAATAAAATAAAATAACATATGAAAAGTGCTTATAACAGTATCTGAAACAGAGTGGGAAACTCAATAAATGGTCCTTTGTTAAAATGGATTTCCTACCTGATCTGTCATCCCTTCTACCACTTTCCCCAAAACATAATTCTTTTGCACCTAATCCATGAGCTAATTCTTTTATTTACGATTCTAATTTTCTGCCTTTTTTGTTCTTGATTCTCACTTTAAAAGTTATGTTCTGGATGCCTACTTCATAGTCTCACATTTATATATATGTGTAAAATATATATATATATTTATACATACACATTTAATATGTGTAAAATGTAGGTGTAGGAGCATGTGTGTATGTGTATATATATGTTAATGAGGGTACAGGGATCTATATATGAATGTCAACACAACATAATAGCATTTTCTCATTCTACCAACATTCTGAGAAAACTGAGGGAAGCATTTTTCTCCACATATCCACCTGACCACTCTCAAAAGCAAAAACAAAACCCAGAAATGTTCTCCATCGAAATAAACACATTGCCCACAGAGGCTACTTCAAGCAGACTGGGCATGTCCTTGATAGAGCACATAAAAGATGAAACTGGTAGATTTGGGCTGTGATAAGTACGGTTCCTGTGGCTGGAACCGGAATGAGATGGAAAGGCTTGTGTCAAGCAGGCAGAGAGGCAGCCTGAAGTTAAGCGAGAGAGAGAGCTGCCTGGACAGGTACTTAGGTACAAGAACCAAAAGGGAAGAGTGAGAAATAGGTGGTATAACAAACTCATTGCTGGCTTTCAACTTGTGAAATTAAGAACTAGCTGTGACATCTAGTAAAATGCACACCGATTAGTCCTCATTTATTTTTAAACACATTACTGTAAAAGAGAACAGCATTTGGCAAACATATTTCATTTCTATGTATATTTGTTCAGTTAATTGACTTTTTCTTCACAAGAGAAATACCAGGGTTTTTTGTTTGTTTCTTTTTACCTCTCTTCTCCTAAGACATCACATTACATGATAATTTCAGTTTCCAGCAAAGGAATCCTAAGGTCCCCAAACAACTAATTTCCCAGGGGCAGCCCTGTACTTTGAATGTTCACTGCCTGGATCTCTTAACCCTGCTCAGGGGAGAGTAGTTAGATAATAGTCTCTCTGGTGCCAGGAAACAAACTGCTAAGCAGCTATTTTTCAAAGCACCTGATCCTTTACCTCAATGCTGCTTCTCCATGAAATGCACTTCGCATAAAAGAGTTGTGGCTGAATAGAAACCTCCACCCTAGGTACATTTTTTGAGGGTTAGCAAAGCTGAGTCCCCAGAGGCTGGACAACACCAGTGTCACCAATCCAAAGCAGGAGCCTAAAACTATCAAGAACTATTCCCACATTGTACTTTGCCCTCAGTACAGATAAAACATTTTTGAGAAAGGCCTTTCAAAATCTTCACACATTAGAGGTTTTCCTTTGCTCAAAGATCCGTATCAGTCAGGAATATCCTCTGCTTCCTGAGAATGCTGCAATACAAATATCCCATAAGGCAGCACCACAGTGATTATCAGATTTCAGCAGCTGCAGTCCACAGGCAGGGAGAAAGCCTCACTAGCCTGGATCTGCAAAAAACAGCCATGACCTAGGGAAATCCCTTTATTTGTAGGACAAGAAAAGCAAGCTGATGGGACTTCACCGTCCCTGAATTAGAAAGAAAAATGATTGTTTGGGGCGTAGTTTACCAGAGTAAAAGCAAATAACCCACACTCTTGTAATTAATGCCTAATGCTCCCATAACAATATAGTGCTAGAATAAAATCCAGACCTGCCATTTGTTCAGCAAGCTAGCAAAACAGCTGAGAAGTTAACCAACAGGCAGTGAAATGAGTGAAAAAGCATTACTGCCTGGGTGGAAATACCACTTCGCCCTTTGCCCGCTGTGTGACCTAAGGCAGGTTACTTACTTGCCTATTCTACCACCTAGTTTATGCATAAGTAAAATGGAAACAATACTAACAATTACCTAATTGTACTGTTGTGAAGAGTACTGAGTTAGCATGTACATTACTTAGAAAACTGCATGGCACAAAGTAAGCACCACCTAAATAAGTAATGTTCTTAAGTGAACATTCCTGAGAGGAATGTACAAACCTACTTTTCCACACCAGAGTGGATTACTGGTTTAAGTATGAAATTGCTATTCAAATTGTATACAAAAATGTTCATCTTTTTTTTCCCTATTTGTTTAATCAAAAATTATTTCAAAGATGTTTTAGAAAAAACCCCTAAAATATTACTTTAAATGTAAATAATTATTAGATGGAGATTTGTAATATCTCCTACCTCCCCTCCAAAAAAATATATATGCTAAAAGATTGGTATGTTTTCAGCATATACTTGAAGTATAGCACTCCCAATTCAGCCTTGACAACCGATACTTTAAGATAAACAAGAGCAACAAAATTTATTATGTAGAAACAATGACCTCTTCTCCTTTCCTGGCGCTGTGTAAAAAATTGCAGCCCACAAAATTCCAGAGAATAGCTAACCAAAGAAGGTTGATTAATGCTTATTATAGCTTCTGTATACTGCTTCGATAGCTCACACCTGCATACCCCCTCCCAACCAAGAATGTGGTTTTTTGCCTTTATATTTTCCCTGCAAAGACTGTTCGGGGCTGTGAGTTTGTTTAGGGCATGAGCCCACTCGTAGCCACCGCCAACTAAATACATCTCCAAATGCTCAATTTGGTCTCTGTGTGAATTAGTCTCACGTAACCTGGGTATAACATACTTAGTAATAATTTATCAACATGTGAAAGCATTTTCTAAGTTTGAAGTTTCTTCAGTCCATTTAAGCATATTAAGGTAGAAACATGAAGACAGAGGTTCTAGATCTGGCTTTACAACGAACCAGCAACACGAGTGTAGGCAAATCACTTACAGCTTTATGAACAACTCCCTATGAGGTCTTTATTTTTCATGTCCCCACAGAACAAGAAAGACTTCAGACACAGATGGGTGTGCAGTTCTGCATTTAAGCAGCAATATCATACAAATTACTACATATACCTCATTTCAACCCATTTTAAGAAGGAACTTTAATATGCTTCCCCTCACCTTGGCTTGGTCTCTGCAGTCAACATTGGGCTTTCTATTTGAATGTCCACATACATAACCATCATGGAGTGCCCCTTGTTGATGTTCTTCACATTCCTGGTCCAATAGTATCAACTTTAAACATCTCTTCCCTTGAGTATAGGAGCCCATATGACACAGCAGACCAAGATTAACCTGAATATGCTCTGACCACAAAAAAAGATGTTCCCCACACTACCACCATTCCTCTCACCTGTTTGCAGGTTTCTGTCCTGCACACATTGCTCCACCTTTTTACTCTGCTCCTTATAAGCTCAAGCTTCTGAAGTCCTCTGTTCATGCTCTTGCTCCACATCTTTGTGCCCTTTCCCCCAAAAACTTGTGTTTTTCTACAGCTCTTCTCTTAACATAAACTCTGTAACTTCTTGTCCCTGTTTCTATAATAATTTGTAATCACAGGGTTATGTATAGAGAGGAAAATTATTATAAAACCACTTTCTCCTTAAAGGTCATTGAAGTATATGAGAGTGATTCTACTGAGTTTAGATGGCCCTATTTAAGGTACTTAAAGAAAATGACTTCAGGTGTTATAATTTATCACACCTGTAACTATTTTAGAGCTTAACGTAATAGAACCACAGAGATGATTATCATATTGCTTTGTGCCTACTTGGAATTTTTTTAAAGAAAACAATAGAGAAATAAATGTAAATTTTGAGAGAAAAGGAGATGGGGGGGGGAGAAGCTTAGAAATGCCATACCCATGTCAATAAATTTAAAGAAACAGAGCTTGATTTCTACTGATCTTGATTATGTCCAATAATTTATTTTGAAAGGGGTAATAAAAACATTTTTACTTGAACTGAGTCGCATTTATTTTATAGTATCTTAGACACTAGAATTTGACACAAAATCATTTTCCTTTATTTTCCCTTTTATCTATATTTTGTTTTTCCCTTTCAACAAAAGTAATATATGATTTTTTTTTAATTTTAAAAATATTTTAGAAATATGTAGTGACAGGCCTCTATAAGTGCCCCCACCCAACACATAATACACACATGTAAGGTAATCACTAAGCTGCTGGTATATATTCTTCTAGATTTTTTTCCCTATACATGTACAGGGTGTCCCCAAAAATGTATACACACTAACAGCTGATAGCTCAATTTTGAAAATGAAATGTATTTTAATAAACACTCCCTTTATAATTATTCAAAGTGTATGTATACATTTTGGGGAACAATACACACACACACACATAATCAGCATGTTTTTAAATAGGAAAGATTCCATCACTTACCAAAATAAGCCCTGATATTAGTGAGGAAGTGCCGGTCAGGGCCACATAGAACTTCGGTGTTAACGTATTCAAAAACATGCTCACTGAAAAAAAAAAAGAGGCAGAGAAAAGAACAAGGAATGCATGAGTATTCCAGTAAAACCAACTGCTTCGTTTTTCTTTCTGTTGAAATCATTTGTTTCTGGTGATAAGAATTCTTAGAATTATAACAAAACCCCAGTAAAATGGTTCAGCACTAAACAAGCTCAGAGTACAGGGTATCAACAACTTATATAGCCCGAAAAAAAAAGCTACATACAAAAAAGAAAAGAAAAAAAAGAGCAGCTTTTTTAGTTTGTGCCTCCCCAAACTATTGTTGTCAATGGTTTTCTTCGATTCATCACCACTGAAAAATCTAATCAGACCAATTATAACTACTTAACTATCAGTCAAACAGAGAAGACGCCCGATATGTTTTGTGGGACCCACACATCAAAGTCTTTGATGAACCAACAAGCAGCATGTCAGCCTTAAAACAAATAGAAAATAACTATATTCAACAGTTATTAAAGATCATAATACACCTAAGAAAGAAAAACAAATTGACAAAAGTTAGTATATATTAATAAACGTTTTTTCAGCTTACTAATAATAAAGTCATAAAAATAACTGGATTCAATTTTTTTAAAAAAGATGAAAGATAAAGCACTAAAAACAAATGTTCACTGCCAGGAACTTTCCTGACCGGTTCCTGGTACTCTGTTCACATCAACTATACAGTTGATCTGGTTGCCCATGAAGAAAGGTTCACTTATAAAGGAGACAAGAACATACAATAGGGTAAAGACAGTCTATTCAATAAATGGTGTTGGGGAACTGGACAGATACATGCAAAAAAATGAAACTAGACCCCTTCTTACACCACAGACAAGAATATACTAAAAATGAATTAAAGATTTCAATGTAGGACTTCGAAACCACTAAAATCCTAGAAGAAAATATAGGCAAAAAACTCTCTGACATTTCTCTTAATAATATTTTCTTCTGCTATATCTCCTGCAAGGGATACAAAAATCAAAATAAAGAAATGAGACTAAATCATACTAATAAGTTTTTGCACAGCAAAGGAAACCATCAGCAAAATGAAAGACAAACCTACTGGATGGGAAAAATATTCATCAATGATACATCTGATAAGGGGTTAATATCCAAAATTTATAAAAAACTCACGTAACTCAACAGCAAAAAAACAAAACAGTCCAATTAAAAATGCACAGAGGCCCTTAACAGGCACTTCTCCAAAGAGGACATACAGAGGGCCAATGAACATATGAAAAGTTGCTCAAAGTCATTAATCTTTAGAGAAATGCATATTAAAACCAAAATGAGAAATAACCTCACACATGTCAGAATGGCTATCGTTAATAAATCAACAAACAAGTGTTGGCAAGGATGTGGACAAAAGGGAATCCTCGTGCAGTGTTGGTGGGAATGCAGATTGGTACAGCCACAATGGGAAACAGTATGGAGGTTCCTCAAAAACATCAAAATACAACTCCCTTATGACCTACCAATTTCACATCTTGGTATATATATGAAGAAATCCAAAACATTAATTTGAAAAGAAATACACACCCCTATGTTCACTGCATATAATTGTTTAACCACTATTCTGTATATTTGAAACTAATAAAAAATAATACTGAATGTCAACTGTAATTAAATAAATAAAAAGAAAGGTTAGTTATACATTTTAGAAACATATTTTAGTCATTATCATTTATATCTAGATATTGCACAAAACTTTGACTATTACCAAAACAACAACTGACCTAAAGGGCTTTTTATACATATTCACATTTGTCTACTGAATTTGTTCGTGCAAGGGGATCATATTCACTCATTTTAGAATGAAGGATATTACAAGTAGGACTTTGATGTCATTAGGGGAAAAGATTTGGGCATTTGTCCAGAGCTCAGCCACAAAAGCACAGTTATCACAATGAACAGAGATCCCAGGCTCATTTAACATGCTCTCTCTGTTTATGAATGAGACCATGGACAAAGAATGGAAACATAAATCAGACACAGTTCCCACCCTCCAGAAAGCCACTGTCTAGTTAGGAAACAGACAAGTAAACAAGTAATTACCATAAAGTTTGATAAGGGTGTACACAGTTCCTGCGTATAGAATTTTATGAAAACATATAAAAAGGACGCGCCTCAGGCTGGGGGTCTGGAAAGAGGTCTAGGAGAATAAGTAGGCCTTAACCAGACCAAACAGGGCAGGAGGAGGAATGGAATGGCAATGTGAGCAAAGGAAGGAACCTGCTTTGAGGTGCTAAACAAACAGCACAGCCTTTCTAAGCAATGGTACCTGCTGAGGAGGGAAGAAGCTTGAGCTGTGAACTCTTTGCAAAGATGCAGATGTGGAAGAATACACTGATTCCATCTTTCCTGGCTATGGGCATCCTCTCAATAAACCTCTTACCCCTGTACCCACTGTTAAAATGAAATTGACTTGTGGTCTGTCATTTGTAATCACAGGAGTCTGGACTAACACAATGTGTTTGTTCAGTTAGTAGTCACGACTTGACTAAGTGAACGCTTTCCGGGAGGTACAGAATGGCATGGAAGGAGAGGATCAACCTAGAGCTATAAGACAAGAGGAGGTAGAGTTGAGGTGGCTTTGCTTGGCCGTTATAAAAAATAAAAACACAGTGATTTCTCATTTCACACAAAACAGTTTGTGGAAGGAGGGAGATTTCTAAAAAGGAAAAAAAATCAAACAACCTTAGTTACAAACCTAGAGCTCATAACTGCCAGTCTGATTCTCAGGTGGCTAAAATTCTCAAAATTTCCTTCTTACATTATCATTGATCCCATAATTTCCCATTATTTTTTTAAAAATCACCAAAACAGAGTATTCATTTGTTATTCTGTAGTTATGAACATTCATATCTGTACTATATGCTTTTTCAGTAAGTTTCTAAGGACAAACTGAGCAAAGAATTCAATGAAATCCACACTTCTAAAAGACAAAGAAAAGATTTGCCTGAATTAAAGTGCTTTAGTAGCCCTACTGTTAACTCCCCAGAAACAAAGCATAAAGGAATGGAGAGGAAAGGTTTCCTATCGGAAATCACCGATCTACTGATCCATTAATCAGTTGGTTGAGCATTATCCCATGCACTGATGGGTCACTGGTTCAACTCTCGGTCAGGGCACATAACCAGATTGTGGGTTCAATCTCCAGTCAGGGTGCATGCAGGAGGCAACTGATGGATGTTTCTCTCTCACATCGATGTTTCTCTCTCTCTCTCTCTCCCTCTCTCTTCCTCTCTTTCTAAAATCAATAAAAACATATTTTTCAAAGAGAATTGATAAATGAAAAAATTATTTGAGGTTTTTAAAGAGAAAAATAAACATTTCACTCGTTTGGTTTTGTTTCATTAAGATTGTATAGCAACAATAATTAATAATTAGAACATATTTCTCTATTATATCTGGTTACAGAAATCTGACTAGAGTTGGGAGAGATAATGATGGACATTAAAAGAAATAGAGAGCGCGGCCAGGCGTGGCTCAGCGGTTGAGCGTCCACCTAGGATCCAGGCGATCAGGGTTCAATTCCCAGTCAGGGCACATGACTGGGTTGCGGGCTCGATCCCCAGTTGGGGACATGCAGGAGGCAACTGATCAATAACTCTCATCATTGATATTTCTATCTCTCTCTCTCCCTCTCCTTTCCTCTCTCTGAAATCAATAGAGATATATTTTTTAAAAATTAAATTAAATTAAAAATAAAAGAAATAGAGATACAAATAAAGAGAAAAGCAAAAACAGAAACATTTAGAGAGTAGAAGGTGCTCATTTAAGAACCTATTAATCTTACAGTCTTACTGGACATTTTAGCTAAAATCATTAAGACATGGCATTTGGCAAATCAATGCTTACTACTTGCCATTTCAATCTACCTACCTATTATTTGATGTTTATAACAAAAGCACTTTGACATATTAGAGAATTTTCACTTCAACTCCATACCTGCTAAAGTCAATATTATTGCTCATCTTATGTCACAACTGAAGGCCGGCAAAGACCTGAAAACCAGTCATCTGCCCTCAAAGCTCAGGCTCATGGTATGACAGGGTGCACATGGGGATACTGATGAAAGCATTAAGGAACAAAACAGCAAAAGGAAAACAGTAGCCTATCAGTGGAAAAGGAGAGGAAGCTATAATAATGAATGTTTTTAACACTTAACACTGTGTTTATTTTTACCTCTGACCTTTTAAATAAGTCCACTGTGATTTTATCATTGGTATGTGCTGCCCCAGGGTGGAAAGGCAGGAAGCCACACTGAAAGAAGAATGCAGTTCATAGGTTTCCCCATTACATTAGGGCTATACACTACAGGCCAAACTGCCTTAAAATCAAGGAGTATCTTGCATAGTTTCATCAGGGTCACTATCAGCTATTTTTAAAAACATGAGGCCAAGGGACATCTATAATATTTTAAACAATAATAAAATTTTAAAAAAATTAAAAAATAATAATAAAAATAAATAAAAATAAAAACATAGGAGGCCTGATAATGTACCTAAAAACTGGACCAGTACCTAAAATTTGGGGTATGTGCTTTGAAACATAAACTGGATTTTCCTGAAAGGTACGGGCACATCAATGTAACCTCCATACCTGCTGGGGCTAGGCAAAACAAATTCAAGAACAAACTGGTAAAGACTAATCTAGCTTTGTGAAAAATAAATTCATAAAATTTTCCTAATGTCCTATTTCAACCCAGAGACAAAAATTAATAAATCAGAAGGCTTTTCATTTGATCCAGCTGGGCACTCCTAGCAGGTCACTGGCTCAAAGAATACCACATCAGTTATTCAAGGGCAGCCTCTGGGACTGTATCTTGGAGCATTCTGAATTTGCTGAACTTTAACTTGGCAAGGTCTTCTCATTTAATTAATGAGTAACTGGGAACTGAGTATGGCCCTAAGAGCAAACTTGGTAGGAGTGATAGATACAAGGATTAAAAATTAAGCGACCTCTATGAAAATAATACAACAGATCAACTGTGGGATATGAAGAA